GAATCAGTTACTGCCTCCACACAGTCGTTAACAGATGGAAGACTAATGACAGCACTATCAACCCTCCAAAAAAAATAAGAAAAAAGTGAAGGGGAACAGATACATTGACCAATAGCAGTAAAAGACTGATTAGGTGCATGAAAATAGGTAAAGGCACCAGTATTGAAAAGAGACAGGTTGTGATTCGAGAGCATAAGCTCCACAGAACAACCTCTCCTATCAATATCAGTACCACCACAAAGGGGATTTTGTCCCTTAAAGTCTCCCAAGATAAAAAAGGGAGACGGCAACTGTTCTATGAGAGCATCAAGGTCTGATTAATCATAAGTCTCTCCAGGAGACAAGTAGAGAGAACAAACAGAGATGGTACAACCCAAAGAAACATGGATGGCTACAGCCTCCAAATGTGCATTGAGTGGCACAGGCAAGATGTGCACATGCTAGTCAACCAGCAGTGCCACCCCTCCATGAAATCGTCCATCACACAACTTGTCCTTCCGGTACAAAGAAAAGTGCCGAAAGTTGGCAGTATCAGCACGTTTGAGGAATAGTTACTGTAAGGAGAGACACATAGGATGATAAGAATCAATCAAGGCCTTAATGTCATCCGGATTAAAGCAGAAACCCTGACAGTTCCACTGTACCAAAGTGACGATTTTTATTTAGATGAAGGAGAACTGGGTAGAGAACCCTTCTGTTTGCGACCACACCATTTTTCTTTACTAGATGGAGGTTTGTCGACATCCATGGATTCTACTCTGGATCAAGTGGGCAGATCTCTGTCAGTAGAAGCAGATTCCAGTGACTGAGGGCATGAACAAATAATCATTCTGCACATCTCGGGGCCAAGGAAGATTGACCCGAGCAGACACTGGAAGCAATGGCTGGGACAGAGACAGGAGTAGATGTTGACTTCTCAACTATTTTATCCACAGAGGGTAAAAGGCTCTTCACATGGTGTAAGAAAGACTCTGAAGGAGACATGGAAAGATCCATCTGCACTCCCACTGTAGCAGTGGAGTATAGTGCAACAGCATATGTCCGAGATGGAGTAGGGGATAATAACTTCCGAGCCTCTGGGTAACAAATGTTGTTTACAGTATGTAAACATTGTACCTGTTTCTCATCCACCCACTTAGGACAAGATCAATAATAAGAGAGATGTAAACTATCACAATTGACACAGTGAGGGTCCAGTTGACACTCGTAGGCATCATGGTTTTT